TCAATGACTTCAAATTTCTCTGGTTCAGCATTTTCTGCCAGATTTGATCCCTTTAGCCATGGGCATGCATGCCCTTCAAAGTTGCTTGTTTTGTTATTCATTACATTGAGTTGACAAGTTTTTGCTCAAAATAAAAACAGATAGATATCCAACAATTTTATTGGTAACTGCATCTTTGTCTTAATGCTGGGTCATCAATAAAAATCCATTCATATATTATGTTAATCACAAACAATACCTCTCATTTCACTCTCATTTCACTCTCATTTCACTCTCATGGATTATTAGAATTGTTTATGTGAAAAACAAAGTTAAAACATCAATAATATAGATGAAGGTTTTGTCATTAAACCAAAGAAACAGATGTCTATGATAACATCTCGACAGCAAAAGTGAGCAAAATCGAACAAATCTTCTCCAAGATCATCATCCCCTTCGATTCCTCTTCCGCATCACCTGTGGGAACTGGAGAGGGACAGGTAAGGTCGCAAGAGAACCTGACTTCTCGCGTGAGATTTTGCAGCCAAGGTTCTCAAAATGCTTCCTCAGTTCGACATTGCTAAGCCTCAGATCCTTGGCGATGTCTTCTGGGTTGGTTTTGAACTTATCCACGTGGAGGCTGAGCACAAGAGCGTAGCTTATCAGAAGGTTCTTCTTCTCCTGAGGAATTTTGACTAAGTCAGAATCCTTGAACAAGCTTGTAAATTTCTGACGGATGATTCCAGGAAACTTGTGCTTTTTAGCTGATTCGTAGCCATTCATTGAATTTAAGTCATTGAACTTAATAAGATGGGTTATGAAAGATAAGACAACAGAGATCGTCTGCTTCTCAGTCTCGTCCTGCAAATATACCAAAATGAATCTGAGCTTTAAATGAAACTATGACAATCAAATTAAGTATCAACAAGTTCAAAATTTCTTGGATAAGAGTAAACAAATAGGTTTTAAACAGCGAAATTGGTGCAAGCATCATGATATTTTGTGTGTATGGATACTTCCGAGAAAAGGATCAAAATGTTACCTCGATAGCTCGCAACATGTCCAATCTGTTGCGGACAAAGAGAGGGTATGCATCGGTTGCTGCTTCAGTTTCCTTTTCCAGAAGCCAGTTAATATCTTGAAGGAAGTTCCATTGACCTTTTTCGATCATATTTTGTATAGGATAAACTTCTTCTGGAGTCGTTGCAGAGGCATCGTAAGGAGGGATGTTGCGTGCAACACTGGAACTGGTGCTTTCAAGAGCACTTGTTTTAACAGCTACTTTGTCAAGTTTACTCTCAAGGAACTTTTGAGCCTCAGGATCATCTCCTAGGTTTAAGGCATGCCTCTTCTTGTCCTGCAGAGAGACTCACATTATCATTTACACAAACAATTCTCTAAACTATCTCAAAACAGTGAGATGCAAACAAGGGATTAAACTAATGATATGAATATCGGAGCTTTGCGTATGCAATAAACTACCAGTAAGACTTACACTCATCGAAACAAGTTACGCATAGAAACGATGTAAAGATATAGTGGCATACCCGATTAATAGCATCCTTTGTACCGAAACTCTTGTTAAGTTTGGCCAGTCGATCTCCTGCGCTAACTTCCGTGATGACCGCACTTTCCGAGGCTTCTGAATCGACTGTTTCTCTAATTTTAACTCTTGGCTCCAATCTGAATATCTGCAATTGAAACCCACCAACATCCAAAACTTCAAAATCTAGATTCTTCTTATTGACACAAAACCAAATTCAACTCTCAAGCATCAATTTTTTCTTCTCTTTCCACAACAATACTCTCTAACTTTCCCACTAACCAAAGATCAAGATCAAAATCAAAAACCACCTTATTGTGAGCAACCGGAAGAATCCTCAATGTTTTAGTCTCTTTATTCAGAATACCTAATTTATACACACAAGTCTGTCTAGCCGCTTGCTCGCCGGAGTAATTCGAGCCCACGAACTCCACGCTTGAGCCAGGCGGGCTTACCACAACCTGAAGCCTCTTCCTCGCCTCCAACTTATGACTGTAAACAGTAACCTTCGGAGGTTCCTTATCGTCTGATTGCGCACAAGGATCGTATCCTGAAGAGAAATAAGCGACAATCGGAGGCATTCTATCGGGTTTCTCGGAGATTTGCTTGATCTTAATGGTCATTTTCCCGTCTTCGTCGTGATTCTCTGTTTCGCTTGTTATCTTCTTCTTATTCTTTTCTCGAACAATTGGCGTCTTAAACTCGTCTTCCTCGTCCATGGAGTCATTCTGGTACTCGTCCGCCATGGTTGAAGGGCAGGATTCTCAGTCGACCTAACGAAGCTTCCACAATGGAGAAAGAAATAGCGGAAAAACTCGCAAACTGGTAAACCCTAGTTTGGTCGAGGATATGTTTGGAAATATTGCAAAACAATCCCTTATATTTCTCCGAATCAATCAAATATCCCCTTCGTAAGAACGACGTCTATATCTTCGCTCCTCTGACCTTTTTTCCTTTGAGAAAACAACGCGTAGTTCATCAGAAACAACAAAACTACACGCTGTTTTTGGAGATTGAATTATTGAACATGCAATGCATATTCTTTGTGTATAACATTAATCATTTTTTTTGGCATGCATGGATTTATTTAGTATCTCTTTTTTCTTTTTTTTTCTTACCGAGTAAATCATTGAACAAGACTGGTTCTTTTTGCTACTAAGAACATTTATGGTGATCAATATGTGCATTGTATATGGATAAAATTTGATCTTTGCCTTTCTCAAAAAAAAAAAAA